AGAGCTGTGATTTAACATCCAGTCCTTCCTTCTGGAACTGTATGTCTGCAGTCGAAAATGCAGATCTCAGATTGGCCTCTTCAGTCTTCTCTGGACTCACTGCTAACTCCCCTATCTACGGACAAACTGTTATCCCCATATTGAGGGACTGCCAGCAACAATGATGACTGGCTAACTGAAGTTAAACGTTGCTCCTGCTGCTACCAGAAACTTTAAGGTTCCTGGTTAGCGCGCCATGCTCCTCTGTTTAGTTATACCAACTATGACTAAATTTGGGGTTGGGAAGGAATTTTTCCCTTAGGTCACATTAGCAGAAACTGAGGTGGGGGTTCATCTCCTTCTATAGTCTAGGGTATGGTCCTTCTCCTAGGATCTTTAGAGCATTAACTCCCTCACTCTAATTCCCTGCTGTTAAAGTGACAAGTCATTAGTAGTGCCCTTTTCTCTCTAGTCTTTATACTTTAAAAGGTGTTCTTAGTATTTTGGACATCATTCCTTGGAGTAGTGGGCAAGTGATGATTTTGGGGATTCTTTTGGTTAACAACAGCCTGTGAACACAGTGGAACTGAACTCAATGACCCAGGAGGCCTCACTCAAGTCCTGCGTTTCCTAAATAAATTGATTAAATATAAGCCATGAGAATTTTCTGAATCTACAGGATTGGCACAACTGCATTATGCCTGTCATTCATCTGTCCAGCTAAGAAACCTTTGCCAGCGTTCTGTTTATAAGAGGTGCTGACTTCCACTAGAGCAGACATTCATGGAATGACATTTCAACAACCTTATTTGTTCTAAACATCAGGAAATCTGGTAAACAGCAGACAGGATGCCTTGGGAGGGAGTTATACCCTTCTACCAGTTTTCCAAGACATGTCCAAATTTTAGCCTGTTGTAATTTAACCATCTGTATGTTGCACATGGCATTCCAATACTCACCCCTGTAAGTAAAAAAAGAAAAAAGAATCTTAAGCCATGGTAATTTCCTTGCAAACTAAGAGATATGCTTAGCCATTTGTTTCATGTGCCTGTCCTTTGCTTCCAAAAAACCCCCCAAAACACAAAAAAATTTTACTGTCTAATATTTTACCTAATAACAGCCATGGTAGCATGTCACACAACCAAGCAGCTTCAAACGTTCTCTTTTGTTAAACATAGTCATACTATTAATGCTTTTGTTCTGTATCTTCAGATAATTTTTATCCATGACTTATTATTGCAAAGTCATCAAATACCATATTTTCCTGCATAGCACATGCCCCCAAATAAGGTGCACACTTTGTTCTTGGGAAGGCAAAATGAAGAAAAGAAGTAGTTTCCAGAGCTATGGCTACATATAGCAGGAACAGAGCCTAATCTTCAGCTCTCTCACCCTTCTTTCATGCTCAGAAGAAAGCTGCAGTTTTAACCCTTTCACAGCTGAACTGTCAGCATCACTTGGCTGCTCAGCCAAAAGCTGAAAATGGAATCCAGTCTTCAGCACCATCTCTAGCTTCCCTGCTTAAGATGCGCACCCCCAGTTCAGAAGGCTAGTTTTTGGGGGAAAAGATGATTGTGGTATGTGAGTAAATACAGGACTACCAAATTATACCATGAATATCTATGACATTATGTTGAAAAACTCGAAGTCCTAAAATTCTCTCACATGCACACTTGCTGGACTTAGAAAAGCTTTCTTTCTAATTCTGAAGGCAGCAGCACTACATTCAAAAGCTTGCCTAATACTATACTAAATCAAGCAGTTGGTCCAATAAAAAGATACCCACAGAAATCCTTGCTTCTCCCATATTTCCTGGACCATCCTGGCTAGAACAAGTCAGTCCAACAGAGTAGCCACCTGTATAAAACTCCACATGTAAATAAAAGCAGCCTGCTTAAAAGGAATGGAGTAGGACTGTGAAACAGGAGTAGAGAGACATCAGAAGTAGTTAAAAGACATAAGATAGAAAGGATAACCTAACTAGCAGAAGAGCAAAACCATTCAGGAGGGAAAAGGGTCATGATCACCTGCTGAGTACAGAGTGATTAGCAGGGATTGCAGGTAGATTGCAATGAGCCATGAAGTTAATGTCTGTGTTTAGTCCCTGGTTTTTAGCATCCAGTAAGGTTCCAAACCTTTGCTGAAAAAAGGTCTTACTAAAGCAGTTCCACTTTGTGAAAAGAATAAATATTGTACTGTGAGTGAAGTCATATGTATGACTGCTCCAGGCAGTAAAAAACAGTTTTTTAAATCACTTTCTATTATACTCTCCTTTCACCTTTATTTTTTGCCCCATTACAACTTGCCTTGAAAAGAAGCAATACAAAGGGAGTTGTGCAAATGTATTAAACTAATGAGCTGTAGTTTCTTTTAAAACACATGTAGCAATCTTACCATGCAAGTGTAACCCACTGATCAGGGTGTGTAATGCACTCCCCTCCATGCTGAAAGGATACCAGTGTTACAGCAAATTACAGCTGTTACAGTGTTAAAGCTACAGCTTCCAGCTAATAGCCTAATATTTTAGTTCCTTAGCATATACAGCCTACACAGTTCAGATGCTGGAGATCTTGATTAAGTAATATGAAGGCTTACAGGCTTAAAAGAAAACAAAAACAAAAACCAAATTTAGTCTTCACAGTAGGCAAGTGCTTATTCCAGACTGACAAAAAACAAAAAAAAACAAAAAAAGAAAAAAGAAAAAAGAAAGGTGGATGCTAGTGAAGGCAGCTGATAGGATAAACAGAGATTGCCCCCTCCCCCCTTCTTTGTTTTTGGTTATGTTGTGTATGTACCCAATATGGGTGACCCCAGTTTTTCTGAAGACAAATTACCAAAGTTGGGAAACAAAAGGTTCAGCCTTTCTGCTGCCCACCCCAATAAGATGGAATGTACTCAGAAGCATAACGTTAAAGGTATCAGTTGTTGTATGGATCAGGACCAAGCAAATATGTCTGCCAAATGTGCTGTATTCAACTAAAATACGTATGTGGAACTCTTATAAATAAAGCAGCATTATTACTACCTGTAAAGTACCCATACCCCAAGCTTTACATTTCAGAAGCACAAGTCAAATGGGTACAAGGAGCAAAGCATCATGAAAGCCAAGGAAGACAGTACTTTCCCCAGATACTGCTTTATGTACTGAGGCTGCTTTTTCTCAGGACACTTTGCAAGCAGTTTGCTGGGAGCAAGAGGAGGAAGGGGAAGAGGAGCCAGGCACCAGATCCTGCTCCAGGAAGGTAAGCGAGCCAGAGCTGTCTGTTTGGCTTACTAAATGTTTGTTTGGTGGGCTGTGTGCTTGGGCGTGTGCTCTGAGCAGCTGGGAGTGTTGCTAACTGGGTGATTGCTGTCTGTCTGACAAAAACCCTAAGAGGGAGCAGAGTAGGTCCTGGCCCAGGGAACCATAAAAGGAGACCCTGAGCAACCAGGGAATGCCAGAACAGGGGCAGCAAACAGGGCAATTGCAAGCAATTTGCAAGTCAGTTTGCTACCCTTCTCTTTGAAGGGGATCCTTTAAGGTAAGCTCTTTTAATTAAGAGTAACTAACCTACATGTATTTAGCACAAGTAGCTAAAACAGTTAGACCACTACTTAAGCCCCTCATTTAACTAGAGTCCAGAGTAAGGGAGAGTCTTCTAGGGAGTTTGCCTGGAAACACTCTCTCACCTTCCTTCACTGTAAGCTTGGTGACAGGAAGCAGGTTAGCAGGGAAAAAGGAACCTTTCAGGACCAAGGAGGAGAGAACAGGTCAGCTTACAAAGGAGTTTGCTAGGGAAGGTCTACTCGGGGGAAAAAAGGGCAGGGAGAGAGGCAGAAAATTAAGAGACCCAGAGAAATGGCTGGAGGATGCCACAATACTAGAGCCACTGCTGCCAGCTCTTCCTCTGCTTGCACCTGTGAGGTGTCTGTCCAGACAGGACTGCTCACCACTGAGGCTTCCACCCAGGTCCTCATTTGGTGCTGTGGAGACTGTGGCTTGCAGGTTTCTTCCAGTGATCGACAGGTGGGGGAGTGCCTGCAATGTGAGCAGTGTCTCCTAGTGGTGTGTCCCTCAGGGAGCAAGAAAGAGAGCTACAGGAGAAGATGCTGCCACAAGGACTTCACTGATTTGATGCTGGAGGAAACCCCTAGGACTGCAAAGGAAGGAGTGCCAGAGGGAAGCACTAGAGAAGGGAAAGGACTTGGCCTCCCAGGAAGGTGGAAGCTGGACACTTGTGACCTCTGGCAGCAAGCAGAAGTCTTCATCTCCACCTGCAGCGGTTTGCAGAAGAACAGATATAGAGTCTTAGCAACAGAAGAGGAGGAGCATTTTCCATTGGTGGAAGAGGCCAAATCAGGCATCCACAAGTTTGGGAGGTTCAAGACAAGCCCTCCTCTCCCCCCAAGAGAAAACAACAGGTGGTAGTAGTTGGAGACTAACCTTTGCAGGGGACTGACGTATCTATCTGCCAGCCTGACCCATCTCAGGAGGTCTGCTGCTGCTCTCAGATCCGGCTTGATCCCAAAGCCCGGATCTGAGAT